GTGCGGTTTTAAGTTGGGAGCCCTAAACTTCATGAAGGCAGCTATGCAGTATAGATCTTATGCAAACAACCATCATTCCATCTTGAAGCAGACTAGGGAAATGTAGGGACTGCGGACTTTTTCGGAAGCTGGAGCAACAAGGAAGTCGGCCACTTCTCACGGCCTGCAAAATTCAGGCAGCCAAGAACAAACTCACTGGCAAACTTGACGAGACACAAAATGAAAACCTGCTATGGTTGCAGTATGCTGTTGTACTTTCTGTGTGCCAACAGGGTTTGGCTACTGAATCACAGTGCTGCCACGACTATGGATGGCAGTGAGCGGCACGAAGAAACTGAGAAGTACCAATATCATGCTGCTACGGTTGATGATATCAATCCTGNNNGAGCTATAGTCTAAACTCCTATTATCCCTCCTAATATCCCCTATAGTAGTCCCCTATATACTCCCTATTATAACCCCCCATTACGGAGTTTAGACTACAGCTCATAAGTCCCGTAGTTTATCAGACGTTTGGTCCGCTTGCTTTTGACTGGCATGTGGCCTTGGAACTTCATGCGCTTGCTTTGGCTTCCGGTAGGAGGCCGCAAGGCAGGCGGGCGGCTGACAAAATTATGGTCCCTTTTTGGGTACCCTAAATGCTAAGTGGCGTATTATACTAAGGACCCAAAAAGGGAACATCTTTTTGACAACCTCCCACGTAGATTCGAGAAGGACATACCTAAAGCGTAATAGTGAACCTTCACCCTCACAGAGCCGACGCTAACATTCCCTAAGGGTCCATGTACCCAAATAGTGTATACATTGGCCTTAATGTAGTCCCTATATACGTACTTTAGGGCCAATGTATATACTATTTAGGTACATGGACCCTTAGGGATTTCACCTCCCGAATCGCAGAGCGGCCTCGTTTCCAGCCAGGATCCTTTGGATGTCCCAGGCCTCCAGGGGTTCAGGTTTAGGGTTTAGGGTTTAGGGTTTAGGGTTTAGGGTTTAGGGTTTAGGGTTTAGGGTTTAGGGTTTAGGGTTTAGGGTAGGGTTTAGGCTTTTCGGGATTAGGGTTTAGGGAAAGTTTAGGGTTTAGGCTTTTAGGTTTCAGGGTTTAGGGTTTAGGCTCCGGACTGTGTCTAGAAATGGCTCAAGCATCCTGAGGAGTACCGCATTAACATTTCATCATCCGCAGCTGCTACTACGACTCAACCCAAGCACAGATGGTCCAGCTCGTTCTACAGAGACGGAGGGTGGATACTTGGAGGATCATGGGACTTGGTAACGTTGTAAGTACTTTAAGTGGGTTAGAAGTAATTGCGAGTATAATTGCCTTATAATTTTATAAATCTATTATAATAACCTTAGCTACCTAGTCCCATGATCCTTTAAGTGGGGGGGGGGGGGGGGGGATGAAAGCTGCCGCGCCTTCGCGGGAAGCAGCAGGTGGAGGTCGGCACCGGCCCCTGCCGGGAGAGCCACGGCGAGAGCGGCACCCTGGCGCCGGAGGGTCCCAGGGAGGCTGAGAGGGACTTTTCTGGGAGGCCTGGCCACCCTTAAGGGCAGCATGGCTCCCAGAACAAGCAGGGCGGCATCCACGGCGAGGCCCGGCTCAGGAGCCCGGAACCTGCCCTTGGCGCGGCACGGGGCCTTCGGACACGGGGCGGGAGCGAAGGTGTGGAGCTCGAAGAGCCGAAATGTCGTGTTACTCGGGATCCAAGGTCTTAGCATCCTAGAGACTCCACGAGTCCAGAAACTCCCACGCGGGTTTAAGGGCTACAAAGGAGCCAAAGGAGTCCGGGTCTTCTCCTTAGAGGCCTGCGACCGAAGGGCTGCAAAATAGAAGACTAAATAGTTAGAGGGGGGCTATGACCCGTCAGGTCCGATCTCGGTTCGTCAAGAGCTCGGATGGAAGGGGATGAAGTCGAGGGTGCAGCTTAAAGCTGATCTTCTCAGCTCTTTTACGTGCAGCTCCGGACATTCTCGGGGCGCACGCAACCTCCAAATAACGACTTCCGATCCAATGATGTCCGGTGCATGCGTGAATGGTCCAGCAAGAAGTCTTGTGTGTCCTGCCATAGCTAGGACACGGCGAGTCGGCTGCCTGCATATGCCAGGCGTGGATTATGTGCAGACAGCGGGTCAAGATGCCGACTCGATAAAGGAAGGGAGAAGCAGGCCCTGGGCCAGCTTGTCGATATCTCCAGGTCACTGCAGGGAGGGCTCTGCTCCATTGTGTCTCTTTGCAACTTTCGCCTTGCAGGACGCCGTTCATCGAATATGAGACACCTTTCTAGGACAGAATCACGCCGCGGCCTGAAGTAGCTGACAGGCCGCGGGCCCTAAACCCGACCCAGGCCCTACTACCACCGAAGAACACCCGCAAGCCTAAGCCCTGAGGGCCCTCACGTCTCTCCGCAGTGAGACTCAAAAAGTCTACGTGTGCTCATGGCCGGTGCGGCGCTCTGAGAACCAAGGAAGCTGCTTGGCAGAGAGACCTCGACACTTACTGCCTGCTCCTTAGGCAACCTTATTTGGGGTCCTTAGAAGAAGGATCGTACTATTTGAGGCACTATGTTATAAGGGTCCTCTATGTTCGGAAACTCCCTCCTGGCAAAGTTGTTCCGCTGCGGGGTCGCGCCTGCTTTCGAGGGTGGCAGTGAGAACGCTCGGCAAAACGACGGCCTGAACTTTGCGAAACCTCTGCACTATCCACTGGGAATGATGATTTCACCCCCCGGCATCCACACCCCCTACACCTCAAGCCAACGACAAAATTCCCAGCGAGTAAGTCATGCGCAGTCCTTCACCTTCTCATACGGCAAAAGTCCTGTTCATCACGCTGCCGCCCCGCGGCTGCCGCCGCAAACCCACCGTCCACGCACCGCAGGAAGACGAAGCGCTGCAGCCACGGGCGGCCCGTATGGCTGGCGTTTGGGGCCGAGGCCTCCATCGGGTGTGAAAACGGCTTGTCGGCTCGGCTTCGCATGCGCCGTCTGTAAGACTCGGCGGTGCGCAGGCGCTGCATGACCTTGAGCCGTACACAGGCTTTGCTCGCTGGCTGCACTGCCACGACGGGGTGGATTGCTTCCCCTGCAGCAATGCAGAACTGTGACACATGAGCGGGCAGCATTAAAAGGACCGCGTGAGCGACGTTCGTAGAAGGGTATCGGTTTTGGTATTAGGTTTCGAGCCTCCGCAACGCGGGCTATTCAGTACTGGTATCGGTTTTGGTATCAGTATCCATTCCCCGGGTCCGGCTTTAAGAAGCCCTAACAAGGCGAGTCACTCACATTCAGGCAACTCCTGGCGCAGACGCACAGTCACAGCTGGACAGCGCGTACAAGGTAGATTTCATCATGTCATTGTGTGTGTGAACTTGCCACATCCCTGTCCACTCTTACCCCGGTAATCGAAAGCCATCATGAATCATGACACCGACCTGAGTCTAGTGTGTCTCAAGGGATTGCGGAAGCTGCAGGCGTCTTGCTTCTGGAGGCTTCTCACATTGTGAGGGCTGCTGGGGACACCTGGACTCTCGGCGAATGCATGCTAGATTCCCAAGTTACTCCTGCAAGCATGTCACACGTCATGGCCTGGCAGAGACACTAATTCACGAATTAGATGTGCCAGGGCCGGGACACTTAAGCAACTGAAGGATCTGGTTTGGGTGCAGAAGCTGGGGACAATCTCGGCTCGGCTCTCTGCCCCTCCGTGGCTTTCAGAGCCACGCTCCTCGCACCCGGAAGCCTCCCTGAGCCACAGAAACCCTCGAAAAAAACGCTTCCCGAAGCTGCTGCGGGAGCTTCAAAGCCCTGAAACCCAAACCCTAAAACCCTAAAACCCTAAACCAGCGGCCTTCGGAACACTTCCAGCGAGCTCCGGGAAGGCCTGGAGTTCTACCCCTGGGAGCACCTCCGCCCGCAAGGGCTTTTTTGGCCTTTCGCAGCTGTCGGCGACGCGTGCGCCGAGGCTCGAGGGCGGAGTGTCGGTCTCAGAGGAGCAGTTTAGGGTTTAGGGTGTAGGGCTCGACCGGGAAGCTTAGCTGCGGTTCACGCCGACCTCCCCAACGCTGAGTAGCGGGGGTGCTTGAAACATGCCGAAGAAAGCCTTTTCGGACGTCCCCGGCCCCTTTACCAAGCCAGCCGAGTGATCAAGATTTGCGGCAGGGGGGCGTTTTGCCACTTCATGCTCTGATGCCCAGGGCAACGTTACTCTCAGAGGTGCTTTCCGGCAATCTGACGGCACGCAGCGTGAAGATCTGTCAGAAAGCCGAAAAACCCGCAAGAATCGTGCCAACGGCCACCTACGCCCTCCTGGCTGCGGCGTTTCGAACCAGGCAGAATCACACCGACAGCTTCGATGGCTTCGAATCTCCTAGCAGACACCTGGAAGGACAAAGCAGAAACCAAGAGCTCCATCGCCTGCGGCAAGCCGAAGGTTTGCGAGCTGAAAAGTCGGAGGGACACCACCCCCCAGGGTCTGAGCAAGGCCGGCGAGCAGTTGGAGAGTGGAGCTTGCTAGGCAGATGCACCGGGAAGTCCGGGGCCTGAGTCCCTTGGATGGCCTCACACCTCCTCGAGCGGCAGCTTTACTCCAGCAGTGGCTTTAATGTCTAGGTCTATTAGGGCTTCGGGTTTAGGGTTAAGGGTTTAGGGTGTAGGGTTTAGGGTTTAGGGTGTCCCCCAGCGAGAAGCAGGTGAAGACAGGAAGCACAATGCTCTCTGGTTCTGGATTCCCTGCTTCGGTGTGTCCGGTCTCTCAGAACAGTCCCAGGAATAACCATGTGCCGAGCCTCGGACACTTCGGAGCCGTTCCGAACCGTTAGATCCGTTCTCAACCCTGTGCGGACCTGATGGGTCCTGAGGTTATAATTACGGCTCTTGAGACCACTGCAGCGAGAACAGAGGCACTATGCTGAAACTCCCGCCTGCTACTCCAAAGCTGAATTCTAGGAGCGAGACACCCAGCCAGCCGCCCTGCTTCTCGTCTAATCCTGCGTCCTGGGGCTCGAACGTAATCGTATCCACTTTGTCTGGACACGCTGATCACAACCTTGCCCACGCTCCGGTTGGACACACTCCGGTTGGACAGAGCTATGGCACGACAGGTCTTCGCGACCAGTCACCGTGGATTGTTGCAGCTGCAGCAATGCCAAGGCGTTGGCATGCTCTGTGGCTTGTCTATGTGAGACTGCTCACAGGGGCTTTGGAACTATTGCAAAAATCTCAGCACATTCTTGGGAACTATAACTACATGCAGCAACGTCCCTGAGTAGTTGGAAACCATTCCGAACTGTCAGAACTGCTTCGATGCGTCTTAGCACACCTCAAAACCCAAACACGCCATAGAGATCCTGAGATCCGAATCAAGGTTCTGATGGCCAATGCAGGCAGGACACAAATCCCATTGAAAACGAAGTAGAAGCTACTCTAACCGAGGCTTCCTGTGTGACAGCGTGTACAACGTAGATTTCAGCATGTTACCGTTTCTTCCAACTCGTCATATCATGAAGTCTCATCACACACATCCAACCAGACCTGCTGCCCATGGTTGATGGTACATCCGACCCGAGGATGATGGCTGTTTGAGTAGGCCGGCGACTCAGAAAGGAAAGCAGCTGCTGCTCAGACGCGAGCAGGTGTGTTTCGCTGCCATCCGGATTTTTGAAAGCGAAGGGAGACCAAGCAAAGCCACTGGAGCAAGCAGATCTGCAGATAGTAGCGGGCCGCCGCTCAGGCAGAAGGTGCGCGTCGCTTTCAGGTTAGACAATGGCGAAGCGGAGGATGGCCCGACCTCGACAGATTGCCGCTTGAAGACAGTAGCAGTCCGGAATCCTAAACATCCTCGTCAGATCGCTTCCCATTTGCATCGAGCCAAGTGTTACACACGACACAAAAAAGAAAGGCTTGCAAGCAGAGTCCGTTTGCGAGCGACTGGGCCAGCTCGTACACGGGCAGCGCGTCCTAACCGCTGATTCGGCAGTGCCGCAATACGGTCACTTTATGCATTCCATTACTGACGAAGCCGCAGAAACAGTAATGCAAAACATGATCATATCTGACCGAGCATCCAGCGTCAGGCGATGATTTAAAATGTGGTGGCTCACTGCCAGGCTACAACCACCCAGTCATGTGTGCACCTGAGTAGATAGTCGATGGGCTGTGAGGAAGAAGGCAACAGTGGAGAGGGCCCAGTCACCTTTTCAAGTTTAAGTCTTTTGCGAACCGAAGCGCCGGTGGATTCCTGCAGGCCCACGCCGCCTGTCGGATGTTTAGAGGTTCTGACACCCCAAATGCGTTCTGCGGACCTGAAACAATCGAGGTACCGGCAAGATCGCCTCGAGCCAATTTGCGCATTGAAGACAGCTCGTAGACTCCAGCTGTGAAACACCACGGAGAAGACCACACCAACGCTCACATGCAGCCGCAAAACTCCCCATACTGCAGCTTTCGAAACCCGCTCAATGCTCGGAAGTCGATAGTGCTAGGACTTGCAATCTACCTGCAGTTCCAGTGTTTTGAAAGCTCTCAGCCTCAAAATCGCACCGATTCCGATAGTTAGAGTTAGAGTACGATTGCTAACAAACAGTATGAAAGGAATCACGATAGTACTGGCAGTCTGACGAGGACCGTCGTCTCGCCCGAGTTATGCGTTATCTAGAAGCCGGTAAGATCAAGCACCTCATCAAAAGCGGGCTCATATTTCAAGCTAAAGATTGATAAGCATTTGCGTGCCTTGCGTTTTTGCTACAGTTGTTGTGTCACGTTGCCAACACGCTGGGAAAACGGAGTATTAACAGTACAACGCATGCAGCACAAGGGCCGAAAATCCTGAAACAGACTGTATTTTGTTGAGGTTTGCAGTGCCAAGACCCAGGTGGCGGCAGCGTTTTCGTGCAGACTCGAAAAGAAACTTTGCCAGGCCTTACACTTCTTGCAGAGGCCGGCCAAGGTTTACACTTGTGACAATGTGTCTTGTTCCACATCCTTGCACCGTATGTTGTACACAAAGGCAAACTTGCTGCAAATACCAATGCTGTCGGCATGGTCGCCAAAGGAGTGGACACTTGTGATAACGTTTCTTGTTCCACATGCTTGCACAATGTGTTGTACAAAAAGCAAAAACGCTGAAAACACCAGCGTTGCCGGCATGGTCGCCAGAGACATGGATGTTTGTCACAACGTGTCTTGCGCCACATCCTTGCGCAGCATGTTGGCGAAGAGGCGACGTGCTGTAAATACCAAATTGGGGCATTGCCACAATACGTATGACGTTTTTAACCTCCCCCCACACACCCACCCCACCCCCCGCCCGCACCCAAATGAGAAACATAAACACTCAAAGCTGAAACGTGGCTTAAACGCAGGGCGCGTTACGGTCGCTGTCACCGAAGGCTGTCGACAGTCCGCCAAAACGAAAAAGAGCACATTCCGGAGTTTTTGTTTGGGTGCTCCGGCAAACATCCGCGATTAAGAACCATGAAGGCACAGCACAAAGAAAGCTTCTGTGGCCTGTTTCTAACACCCACGATTCATCGACAACATGATCCAGGATTGATTCAGGGGGCCGCCCAGGACAGCGATTAAACCTCAGAGGCCGAAAGAACACGCAGGAGGCGATCTCCGTCCTGTGAGCGATATGTAACAAATCCTCCCCGAATAATGTGCTTGTTTGGTGAAACGACGTGTAACCAAACTAACAAAAACTTGAAAGACCGTGTCGTTTAGTAAGTAGTTAGAGCAATTCAATTAAATATCAGCCTGGCTAACTGAAAATCTGAGTTGCTTTATAACTCAGGTTAAAACTGCTTCAAGTACGGCAAGTGATATACACATATATATATATATATGTCATAGTAAATGCTATCAAACACTTGTCATGGTTAGTTTACAAATACAACATTTAGACAAACGGCACGTAAATAATTAGTAAATCAGTGTGCATGAACTACAGTCAATACATTTATTGGCGGCTGCGTGCTTCAACACGCCAACACATTCTATGTGACTCCATCATTTTGCACACATGCCACAGGTTCCGAAACCCTTTGGGGGGTCCTGATGGGGGTCTGGAAGGTTTCGGTTCCGAGAGCTTGTTAGAATGCTCGTTTTAGTAGCGGTTGGCGGTTGT